GATTTCTTAAAAGCCTATTTGAGAGATATATTGCAGAAAATCAAATCTGGTTTTTCTGTCTTTCTTTCTAGAACACACACATAAACACAATAGTGATTTTAGGGTGTTGTTCAAATTCTTGATCGTGATCAAAGTTTATTGAATATTGTATCTACAACGATTATGATCAAATTCAGATCTTGAAGAATAGAGGTGAAGCGATCACACTTTGAAAGGGTTAAGCATTCGAGGAGTGTTATTTAATCTACCAGCAATCCTTTTACAAAGATCAAGAGTAAGCCTAAAGTCAAGAGCTATTAGACGGGACGTCGCAATGCCAGAAGATTGTCAGGAATTGGTATTTGGTAGAACGATAAGGTGTGAACCTGAGTCAAAGTCCATTGTATTTTGTTTCAAATATAGTGGATTGATTTACTTTAGACTGCACAGTCCACGAGATTTTTCCCGCAGTAGTTGGTCTATTCTACCAATTGGGGTTTCCTCGCTAAAAATCCTGGTGTCATCTCTAACTCTATTTACTTTACTTTATTTTGTCTTACATGAGATTAATTGATTAATTGCTAAAATAAGTAAAGTTGGATAGATACAAATCTGTTTTTAAAATCTAAAACTTTCTACACAAGTAATCTTCCGCTGCACAACTCACATCTTCAGCACTACTTTTGTGTGTGCAAGTACAACTTTTGTGCACAAATGTACCACTTTTGTGCACACATGTATTATTTTCGTGCAAACAATGTAATCAAAATACTCTCCACATATATCGATACATTTGTGCACAAAAGTGATACTTACATGCACAAACGTGGCACCTCTATAAAAAAAGTAGTACTTACCTACATAAAAGTGATACATTTATGCACAAAAGTAGTACCTCTGACCACAAGAGTGGTACCTTTGATCACAAAAATGGTACCTTTGTGCACAAAAATAGTACTTACATGCACAAAAGTGGTACTCGAAGATGCTAAGGGTAGATTGGGCAAATGAATAGTATTTTTCAAGTCCACATCAGATTTTGATCAAAGTCCATGAATTTGAAAAGTGTTAACTTTGACTCCATCTCTAAGTAATAAAACCTCCCAAAGTCCACTTTTTTAATAATTTTTCATCATATTGTGAAATATTGGTGTTCATCATATTTGCTAAAAACTCAAGTGCAGTGTGTAGTTTCAATTGGTTCAACTATTTTTTTTATTTTTACAATTGTCTAGATGTTTGCCATCAAATTGTCAAAAGGGAAGATTGTGATAAACTTAATTTTAGTTGGCATATTTTGGTGTCCAAACCTAGATTGATCGAGTTATAATTTTTTATTTAATTTTGTCTTAAGCGTTCAAGTTGAATAGCAAATGTACGGATGCCATTGATTTGATCAGACCTTTACTAGAACAGGTGTGTGAGTACACAAAGCACAACAAATTTGGTTGGATTAGGACTTCGAAAAATATGTTTTAAAGGTTATTTTTCCATTTTCTGAAAGTCTAACGAGTTGAAAACTTTCCGACAGGCCTAAGTACTAAGAGATTTCATCTTGCAAAGTTCTAACGGGCAAATTTACAACGGGTTGGGGTTTTCTCATAAATCATAATATTCCGTAAAAGTTCAATGCGTTAGTAAATATTAATGGGTTAAAAGTGCTCTCGAGAATTATGCACTTTTGCCTACCTGCAAAGTCTAATGGTTGGAAAATTACCAACCGATTCGACTTGTCCCAATATGTGCAAGAGACTAAGGCCCTATTTGGTATATGTAATGTTTTATAATGTTTCGTTCTAGGCCCACTACAGTACCACTATTGAGGCCCAAAACATGTTTGGGGAGGTTTGTGTTGCTTTCAATAGTGTTAGAACAACTTTCAAAATATAGGCCAAAAGCTAGAACAAGAAAATGGTGTTTTATGTTTTTCCATAAATGGACCGGCCCATTTTTTACTGTAGCGGGGAAAAAAATTAAAAAAATTTAGGGCAAATCATTTCAACCTCCCAATCGCTTCCATCTCTACTCTCGTTCTCAACTCTGAACTTACCCTCTCTTTCTGCAACTGTAAACTACAAGAATCAGAAGTTCGAAACCCGCCTCCATCTCTATTCTCGTTCTCAACTCTGAACTTGACCTCTCTCTCTCTCTCTCTCTCTGCCTTTGCAAACTACAAAATCTACAAGAATCAGAAGTTCAAAGCCCATATATTTCAGTTTATCTATCTATCTGCAAGAATCAAAAGTTCAAAACCTATTACATATATCAAAACCCATATCGGCATATCATTTTAGATTGTTCAAAAAATCAAAACCTATATCGGCATATCATTTACAACTGTATCAGCATGTAATATTGTAATTCTGAAAAATCCCTCTCTCTAGCAGAACTAGAAACGCCCCCAACCAACTAATCACTCTATCTCCAGCAGAATTCTCGTGTTTCTCTCTCTACTAAACCAAAAAATCTCTCTCTCTCTCTCTCTCTTCATTAGATCTGATAATTGTGTATCTCTCTCTAACCAACCAGCTAATCTCTCTCTCTCTCCTGAAGAAAAGTATTTAAAAAAAGAAACAAATCAATCCATAAGCATAATCTAATCAGATCACAGAAACAAGCAAATGAGATAAATGAAGTTTATGGATCAACAATGGCATCCTTGTCTTCTTTCGGGTTAACCATGAAAATGGATATGGCCCATTTTGTTCTTGATTTTCACTTTTCAGCCAAAGGTGGAAAAAAAAAAAAAAAAAAAAAAAAAAAAAAAAAATAATTCTTTGCCAAACATGTTTTGTTCTCATCTCAGTACATTCCATTACAAAACACTTGTTCTGTTCTAGGCTAAAATAAAATGCCCGAGAACATAACACATACCAAACGAGCCCTAAACTTTTAGAGACGTCTAATGAGATTTTTAAAAAACACCTTCTTCTTCCTTTTACATGAACTCTCTTGGCATGGCTTTATAAATCCTCTACTCATCAGGATTTTAAGAACACAAATATAGATTTTTTTTCTCTATTAGACTATTTGTAAGAGTTTTCTTTTTTGTTGAGAAAATTTATTGTTTTTTTTTTTTAGTTAAAGGAGAAAATTTATTCTTGATTTCTCTATTTATATTTTTCTTTACATTGAGAGCGAGAGTGATATTGGACGATATTCTCTATATGATCGACATCCAAAACTACCTTACTACCTTACCACATTCCTGACCCCATGAAGGAATCTCAAGAAAATGAAATAAATTGGTAGCTCAACTCAGTGGGCGCAAGTTGCCACGAAGTTCGCTAAAGTTATTTGGCATATAAAAGCAACTCCAATGGGCTACTATTTGGGCTGCTATTTTCAAAATATAGTATATGAGTTTAAAATGAGCTCTCCAATGGCATGCCAAATGGGCTGCCAAAATATAACTTTGCCAAATGTTGTGCCAAATATAACACAACATATAGCTATTACCAAATCTGTTATTACTCTCTTCCTTCTCTCCTCTCTCGCATGGGCTGCCAATTTGGTGTTATGCTTGTGTACATATATATGTCAGTTGTGCTTGTATATATATGCTAGTGTTGTGTGTATATATATGTATATGTCTGTTGTGTGTGTATATATATATATATATGTATATATATGTCTGTTGTGTTTGTGTGTGTATATATATATATATGTCAGTGTTTTATTTATTTATTTTTAATAAGGTAAATAAGCTAAATAAAATACAAACATTCAAAAAAAAAGGGTTATTGAAAATTGTAGTTGGGAATGGTAGTTGAAAAATAATGGTTGTTATGTCAAAAAATAGCATTTTAAAAATACACCATTAGAGCAGAATTGCTAAAATATAGCATTTTAATATTATACTCCTCTCAAAATATAGATTTGGCAAGCAAAAATGACATTTTGCATTAGAGATGGTCTAAGTGAAGAATGTTGACTTAATTGCCAATTGTTCACACTTTCAAAGTTTCAATAGTGATTTTTAGGATTCTTTATTTTTTTGTGTTAAAATTTAACTTTAAATAACAAAATAAATAATATGTTGGATTGAGTTAGATTTATGTGTGACATTAATTATTCGGCTCTATGTGAATACCTTCTTTTGAGGGTGAAGGTGGTGAGCGAACAAACGACAATTAATATCGAACTTTGTCAAGGTTTGTTTCGATAACCCAATGATACGAAAGTAACAGGAATCCTATAAAAGAATTTCATGGTTCACTTTTAGATAATAACTAGATGTATGTTTTTTTTTTATACTTGAAAAAAAATAATAATAAAAATAAAAATAAAATAAAATAAAATAAAATCGTGGCTCTTTTCATTATTTTGAGATTCATAGAGTATTTTATTTGTTCTCTAAAGTTACTTTAATCTTAAGATGAAAGTCTTTAAATTAACCTAATAAAAAAAATAAAAAATAAAAAATTGGTTCCTATATATTTTTTTAGTAAAATTTAAATTTAAATAACAATATAAATAATATATTGAATTGAGTTAAATTAATATGTGACATTAATTTTTGAGCAATATAACGTAAATACTTTTTTTTTAGGGTGAGTGTAATAGCAAATGGCAATTAACTTGATATTCTTTCACTTTTGAAATTGTCACATCCAACCAAACGCCGTCTCAAGTCTTGTTAAGAAAAGACCCATCTAAGCAAATATATGCCAAGTAAAACAAACTTTAGTGACATGTTACCGCAATCCAATGACAAGCAAATACATGCCAAGTAAAACAAACTTTAGTGACATGTTATCGCAATCCTATGACTATTATATTTATCATCGGTATTGTTTAAGAAAAATGGTGAATGTATCACATTTTTTTTTTCTTATTTGTGCACGGTTTTTAACTTTACTTTTTTTTAAACTAAAAAACATATTGTCATGAATTTATCACCTTCATTTTTTAATCTTTTCACTATTACTTGATGTGGATATAATATATACACATAAATATATGCATGATTTGTCAATTTTGATAACATAAATATATGCATGATTTGTCAATTTTGATACCTGTCTTGCACCGTGCGCGGCCGGTTCTACAACGCCTTGGATATGGATGCTCCTTTCCACCAAGTACAGGTCGAGCCAACTCAGCGTCACTGTCAGGATTACCGAGATCGTTGTATACATCGTAATCATAGATCCTGTCTGTGCTCTTACGCTCCCCTTGGCCATTACCACGTAGGTTTTCAAGCTCTTCTTGTCTTAGCCTCTTCAACCCACTTGGTGTTTGGAATGGCAAGAATGACTGCAATTGTTCATGGAAACACATAAAGAAGAATAGAGACACTTTTGTCACAACAGTCACCATTTTCTGATCATCATTGTCTAATTTAAAATTTTTCTCTCGCACATATATAAACTCAAAATAGTTTGGAATTTATTTTAATAAAAATACATTAAAGGTATTTCAAGAAGAAAAAAAAATCGTTAACTCATATAATTCTGAACTTACTAATTAAACTATTTTTTCCCTCCCCAAATAGATAGTTATGGAAAAGTCAAAAACCCTTCCGAGTTATTCCTAGCTATGTTATGCACAATGATAACCACACCAACTAGGCTACTGTAGCTTCGGAACCTCAAAATGATGCTCCAACTATGGAGTTTGAATTCCCCCCGTGGACAGCTAGTAATTTTCTCAGATTTACTTTGAATAGAGAAAATTTGATATTGTATTAATAATTGAATTAATAAATTTATTGTGTTCTTTATAGTACATGTATTGATAATAAATAAAAACCTAACAAGGAAACTAAAAACATAAAGAAATCTAATAGCAAAAAGTATTAAATTTCTAAAAATTGTGGCTCAAAGTTGGAAGCCTGGAAGTGTCTGGTACAATGATGTATTGTGTGGTTAAGAAGCTTAGGGCTCTTAAGCAACCACTTAGGCTCCTGAACAAGAATGAATTTGGTGCTATTTCAGAAAGGGTGGAAGTCTGTAGGAGTGAGCTGTACCAGTGTCAACAAAGTTTGGACCTTAATCCTGCAAATGATCAGTTGAGGAGTATTGAGAAGGAGCTTACTGCCAAATTCTCTTCTCTTTGTCTTGTTGAGGAAATTTTTTACAAACAAAAGGCACAAATACATTGGTTGAAAGAAGGTGACTAGAACACATCATATTTCATGAAGAGTTTTTCATCCAAAGCCAATAGAAAGAAAGTGTTGTCTCTTGAGGACCCCAATGGAGATGTGCTACAAGAACAGGAGTTGCAAAATGCATTACTCATCCACTTCCAGAATCTATTAGGCCAGAGCTCATCTACTTATCCCGGTATATCCTCTTTTTCTAAACTGATCACTAAGACTGTTCCAAGTCATCTGCTGTCATCTCTCAGTGCCATTCCCTCAGATATAGAGATTCAGAAGTTTATTCTTTCATTTCACCCATTTAAGAGCCCAGCCCTGATGGTTTCAATGCTTGTTTTTTCAAACATGCTTGGACCATTATGACATGATATTATTGCTGCAATTAAGGACTTTTTCACCTCTGGTAGGATGCTCTCAGAGGTAAATTATGCTTATATAGCCTTAGTTCCCAAAACAGCCAACCCAACCTCAGTCAATGATTTCAGACCTATATCATGCTGTAACCTCGTATATAAATCCATATCCAAGCTACTAGCCACAAAACTCAGACTTGTTCTTCCTTTAATCATAAGGTCTAATCAGAATGCATTTGTTAAGGGAAGAAACATCACTAAAAACATTATCATGGTACATGAGCATCTCAATGGATACCATAGAGCATCACATATCCCTAATTGTACAATCAAGGTGAACCTCAAGAAAGCTTTTGATTCAATTCATTGGCAGTTTATTTTGGATGTCCTCTCACTGTTTGGTTTTCCAAATATTTTTGTCCATTAGATTTCACAATGCATCACCACACCATCATATTCCTTATCTTTGAATGAGGAGATGTTTGGTTTCTTTAAAGGGAAGAGAGACCTGAGGTAGGGGGATCCCATTTCCCCTATGTTGTTTGTTATTGCTATGGAGGTCCTTTCACTGTCTATTAATAATGCCACTATTCAAAACCCCACCTTCAAGTTCCATTGGAGATGCAGCAAGTTGTCCCTAACTCACCTAACTTTTGCTGATGATGTGCTATTATTCTCACATAGGAATCTTGCCTTAGTTCAAATTTTAACTTGAGCTATGGAGAGGTTCTTCAGTTGCTCAGGACTTTCAATTAATTGCAGCAAGAGTCTTGTTTTCTTCACAGGAGTGGATCAATCTACTAGGGCTGCCATTCTTTCCCTGTACCAGTGTAATGTTGGCTCCCTCACAGTCACATACCTTGGCTTGCCTCTCTCATCAACTTCAATTAATGCTAAGGATTGTAAAACATTGGTGCATAGGATCACAAGAAGAATAGGTAAATGGACCTCAAGATTCCTATCCTATGCTGGTAGGGCAGTGTTTATTAAGTCAATTCTCTGCTCCATGAATGCGTATTGGCCTCGAAAATTTATTCTTCCCAAGGCTGTGATTGAGCAGGTTAACCAGGTTCTCAGATCCTTTTTCTGGTCTGGTGTTGAGCTGAAGAAAAGTAATGCCAAGGTAGCTTAGACCTCTATTTGCAAACTAAAATGATTAGGGGGTATGGGGTTTCCTGATCTTGAAATGGTCAATTTGGTTGCAAGTCTCAAACATATTTGGAATCTGTTTGCTAGAAAGGATAGCCTTTGGGTTGCTTGGGCTCACAGGTATCTTATAAAAGCAAAATCATTTTGGACTGTTAAGGCATCTACCTTGAGTTCTGGGTTTTGGAGGAGGTTACTTCACTTGAGTGGGATGGCTAGAGGACTGATGAGGCATAGAGTTGGGGAAGGCACTGACACCATGATGTGACTTGATTATTGGTTACCAGATGGACCAATTTGTTCACAGCTTAACCTATCTGATGTGGAAATTCTTCAATTGGATCCTTATGTCACAGTTGATAACCTAATTTCCAGCTATCAGTGGGCAATCCCAACTTCATCTTAGCATCTACAGTTCTTTCATTCACAAAAGTTCATATCCCAACTGTAGAGTCTTCCCTTACTTAGTGCTGAAAGGGATAATGTGATATGGATCCCAAGTCCCAACAATCAGTACTCACTAGCTCATACAATCAAATACCTAGCACCACCCTCAATAGCCTTTGCATGGTCTTATCTGGTTTGGTTTAAGAACAACATCTCAAAGCATAGTGTGATTGTATGGCTTGCCTGCAGGAGTACGCTATACACACTAAATTCAAAGCCAATGAGGAACAAGCACTATGTTAACACATGTTTCCTTTGTCTTACTCGTAATAAATCACTAGATCATCTCTTTTTTTTAGTGCAGCTTCAGTGCTCACATTTAGGTGTTTATTCAGTATATAGCAGGGTTTTACATTGCTCCAGATAGTTAGGGTGACTTAATTAATTGGTATTCTATCACATGGGGCTCTAAGAACTTCTTTATCCATAAGCTTCTCCTCAATGCTACAATTTATTTTATATGGATGAAAAGGAATGCAAGGATCTTTAGGAACAAGACCAATTATCCACATTAAATTATTTGCAGCATTAAAAGTTGTGTTAGAGTGAAGCTGGCATCTATGAAACTAAGGAATGGAGGTCAACTCAGAGTGCTGGGAACTCAGGATGACTTATTGCAGTTGTATTTACAAGGCTGTTCATTTGCAGGTGGACAAACTTGGTGCCTAGATGAATAGGATGTTATGTTTGTATAGGGAAGTTGTTTACTGCTTGGGTTGGGTGTGATGTTTGCACTTTTTAGGAAGGTTGATGTTGTATTACCTTTGTTGTGTTGGCTGCTTTGTACTGGTTGTACCCTTATTTGGGTTGTCTCTTGTATATTCTTTTTTTGTTTTATTAAAGCTTACCATTAACCAAAAAAAAAAATACTAAAAATAATGTTAAAAATAAAATTTGTCAAAGAATTCTCAAAAACTAGAGTAAGAAACCTAGTAAACAAAAACTACTAAATCTAAAATTTGAGAGCAATCGAATTTTGTTCAGCCTTTAACAAAAATCACAAAATATTTTGATGTCTCTTACATATTAAAAAACACAATTTTGAAACCCTAAACAAAGGTTTTCAACTGAAATCTAACATGGCCCACAAGTTCAAGCTAGTGGGTTTTTCTCAATGTATCGTTTCCACCCATCGGGTCAAAACAGATTGTCGAACTGTTCAGAATTCTATCCAAGATTCTATCATACATCATTCTCTTCCACTTCAAAAAAAACTCATCCTCAAGAATGAAGTATTTCCGACCACAAAATCATATTGTTCACTGCCATTAGAACCTCCAAAACACATCATCAAAATATATTCATTACACCTTTCGGAATAAAGACTTCTTCACTTGCAATTTTCTCAAATATTGATACTTCACCAATTTGAAACCCGAATTCTTCTAGACCATCTTGGACATCTAATTTGGAAAAATCATTAACCTGCTAATCATCAATTAATTTTTGTTGCTCAATTTCAGTATCGAACTTCTTATCACCATCTTTTTCTTTTGTTGTGCTAAAATCCCTTTCTGCATCTACCAACTTGTGCAAAGGAATTAATGTTTTCACATTCTTGACTTCATCTTCTTCAACTATAATAGGTGAAGTAACATAATTTTGCTCTTGATCAATACCTCAATTATATCAATCGTTGCCTCAACAAAATTATGATTATCCTTGGTGCCAATATCTTTTTTTGTGAATCTCTTTGTAGGCTTTTTGACATATGGACTCTCGTTCCGACAATGCTGAAAAATATCTCCTAATAATTTGCTAGTAGAATTTTAGCCTTAAACAGTTATTTCACCTTGTACCATGACCGCATAGGCTGTGATCCTTCCCTCCTTCAATAAAATTGTACCTATCATTTAAGCTGGAAACCAAGAAGCAGAACTTGCTTGTTTTTAGGTACATCAAAATACTAAAAAAAATTCTTCAACTTCTTTAAGCTAGTCCAAGGCATCGTCAATAATAAAACTTCCATTGAAAGTAAGTAGATCAAGTTTTGCTTGAAACTCATGATTGTCGCGTCTACCTCGATCACTAAATCTAAAATCCTTATCATCGGAATAATTTGCATAGGTTGGAGGTCTACATGGATAAATAAGAACATAACCCATATTCAGTTGGCTGTGAGACACATGATCAACGCGAACTCGAACTAATCCATAAACCCGGTTGCCACCAATCCCAAAACCAGTTGCAACGAACCATTCTTGAGTATT